CAGCGGTAGTGAGGTTGGCCCAGGATTGGACATTGTTTCGTTCTGCTGTGCATGGAGTCGCTATGAGTCGGTTCCGACTCCATGGCACCTGACAACAACAACAACAATATAAGGGCTGAGTTTGAATCTAATTCTTCAGTGCCTGATCTACAGGAAGTACTTAATGTGTATTAAGTACTTAATGGTATACCACTAAGTTGGAATATTACGTAGCCAAGTGCATATGAAATCAAATCAAGGGAAAAATAACTCACACGACATATGGATTACATCTATAGAAAACCTATGGAGGCATATTGTTAATATCAAGGGGTCGGAGAAAGCTACCTGTCACATTTGCACAGCAATTTAAAAGGCGTCCTTATACATACTTACTTTGATTCTCATAGCAACCCTGCGAAGGACGCACGATAAGTATTATTCATTCGTTTTACAGGTGAGGAAACCAACCTACAGAGGCTAGGAATGCTTGACGAAGGCGGAGCCAAGGAATCCTGGCCTGTCTCCAAGTCCAAAGAGCCTCCCTGCCACCATTCCACAACTGTGGTTGGCGTTGAGGGTCTCAGTTTTCTTTCCCTCACCTATACTACTTGTGCAAACGGAGCCCAGAAACACTAACTGCCGGAAAGGGGCACGGTTTTGGAGTGGTGCCGGTGCTAGCCGGGGGTGGACCTGCGTGGCCCCGCAGGCCCGTCTGCCCTAGTCATTGCTCCGTCCCGCTCAGTCCCCGCGACCATAGAGACGGGAAGTTTGGCCAGAGCGGCTCCCCGAGGTGTAGTGCAGCACGGTCCCCGCCGCAGACCCCGAAGGGCCGCACTCGTGCGGGCTGGCGGAATGACCATAGCGCTGGCGTTGAGGGTGGTCGCGGTGTTGGCAGCCGCGGTGCTGGCCGCAGTGCTCTTGGAACACTACGGCCTGGCCGGCCAGCTCTCGCCACAGCCTCAGCCCCGTCGCTCTTGGAGCCCGCAGCCCGCGCCGGGCTCGGGAGACAACAACATCTTCTGGGGTCTGCAGGTGATGCGACGGGAGCACCTGGCGGGAGGTGGTGCTGAGCGGGTGCAGACACGGAAGCTGGGCGATTTCTGCAGGGGTGTTGCCCGCGCTGATTTGGCCTCCAAACCCCGGGCTGGGGGCCTCAGTCAGGTTGCAGCTCTGGAGTCTGTCTAGTCCCTGCAATGCCTGGGCTTGGTCGGTCCTTCCCTGGGGGCGGTGGGGTTGGGGGAGAGGGTGGGTGATACATTGTTCTCTTGCTGTTTTTCTTTCCTCGGGAGAGAGCAGCTTGGTAGCCCCTGACAATTGCTGCTGCTTTCTTCCTGATTCAGATTATCTCTGTTTAATACCTGCTTTCGGCAGATATCCGACATTCACTTGAGCAGGTTTCACGATCGAGGCAGAGCGGTAGACTTAGAGAAGTTCTGTTCTGAAACTATTGACATCCTGCAACCAGCTCTCGTCCTAGTCACAGGTAGGGAGGAGTACCGTGCTGCCGTGTTGTTCTGTGGCTCGGATGGTAGAATGCTAACTAGAGCTGCAGATTTTCACTTTGGGGGACACACAGTCCAGGTGAGCCTGAGGTAGAGGATACCTATGGATCTGAGTCAAGATCCAAGCCAAATAAATGATTTGTCGTAGCACAGTTTTGTCCATGTGATGTCTGCTACAGTTGTGTTTGATTTTTGTTGTTGCAGTTCTGGATTTGAAAAAGAATTAGGGAAAGCCCTTTTATCCACAAATCAAAAGTTCTCTCATTTTGCTAACGTTTCCAATTTCTTTACATTATTACTCAATGTTATGTTGTCAGTTGTTTGAGGCTCAAGTAAGTTGGAAGTTTTTCTACATTCTTTAGTACTACTTCCTGGCTTGGGTTCCTTAGACTCTCCAAAGCCCTAACCATTCGCTCCCAAACTCTGTTGGAGGAAAGGAAACTAAAGAAACATTTATCTTGTCCACTGGGAACTCATTTCCCACCCTATTAAAACACTCCTTCTGATATGATGGAATTATCAGTCCACATGGTATGGAATAGCCCCAAATTCAAAAGTTCTGTCCCGTTTCCTAGAGATTTCGGCATTCCATTGTCCAAACTTTCTCATCCACATTGCTTCTTGCTGTAAAACTAATTCATAGATCACATATCTTGATTTGGGTTTGAAAATATGGCTGCTATAGATATTAGACACTTAACCAAAGTGATGGAATTTCTAGTAAAAGATTTTCATTTTTTTTTTCAGTCTCAGGATGCATTTTGTACTGCTCTCTTTAAAGGTATTTTTTGACAACCCATATCTAGTATCAAAGAAGGTTGAATAAGAACTTACTAACCTATAACAAGCAAAGCCTTTGCTGAGATAATCTTGTTATTTTAGATGGCTTGTTTTAGATGTAGATGGATAAATATGGAGGTGATGCTTATACATGTTGAGTACCTTATGTATCTTTGTTTATTTATGGTGTTTGCTTTATATTGTGATTCAATTCTTATAAATCTACAGGAGACCTGACAGATGCCAAAACCGAGGACAAGTTGGGATCCATGCAACATGAAATAGAATGGCAGACTTACCAGGGTATTCTAAAAAAGACAAGGGTCATGGAAAAAACCAAGTGGCTAGATACCAAAGGAAATCATGGTAGGAGTCAAGACCCAGATTTTTTTTCTCTTTGGAAACTTAGATTCTCTAATTTAGATTGTAAAATTGCAAATGGGACATTGTAACAAGTTTCTAAAATATACTGAAGGCCGCAACTCTGAAACACAGCTATAATCTATGACAGAAAAACTTCAGATGCCATTGTTGTTAGCATCTTAAGTTAAGAGTCAGTATGGTCCTTTTTTCATTACATTGGAGAAAAACTTCTATCAAAACCTATTTAGATCATATGAAATGAAATAAAGATACAAAAGGATAAATATTATATTATTTCTTTTATATGAAAGATGTAGAGCAGGCAAATGCATATGGACCCAAATATCTAAAGTTATTCGTGGTTACCAGGGGTGAGTAGGAGGGAGTAGGAAAAGGAAATTCGCTGCTTAGGAACACTAACAGAAAAAGAGGTGAATAGTAGTGATGGTTACACAACATGATAAGCACAATGTCACTACATTGTACATGTAAAGAATGTTGAAATAGCAAGTGTTTTGTTAAATACATATGTATCACAATAAAAATCAAACAAGAAAAAAACTCAGGTAGGCAGATGTTTAAAATAAGTATACGTTTTGCTAAGTGAAAGAAACCCAGAAACCTACATACTATAAAATTCCATTTTATGACATTCTGGAAAAGGCAAAACTATAGGTAGAGGATACGTTTGTTACCAAAAGTGGGAATCGAAGGAGAAGTTAACTGTAAAAAAGTACCATAAGGGAAATATTTGGGGTGATCGAACTATTCAGTGTCTTAATTGTGGTGGACACATGACTATTTTTCAAAACTGTATACCACAAACAGTGAATTTTGTTGTGTATAAAATCTAAAAATTTTCAAAAATCTAATATATATGGGTTGTTGTTGTTGTGTAGTGCTGTTGAGTCGGTTCCGACCCATAGCGACCCTGTACAGGGTTTCCGAGGAGCAGCTGGTGAGCTTAAACCGCCGACCTTGCAATTCAAACAGCTTTGCAGTCTGGTGCATTAACCCATAGCGCTGCACTAGGACTTCATAGCGACCCTGTATGGGGATAATATTTATGGGTAGAAAAATGTACATTGAATATATTTATTAATATATATATATTAAAACAATAATATAATTCTTAAGACCATTGTTGCTGTTTTAGTAAAAAAAATTGTCTCTTCCAGATCCTCATGGTAGATTTGTTTATTTTATAAAGGTTGATTTTTTCATTGGCTAGTAATGTACTTCATTTTATTATTCATTGCTGATGAGTTGTTTGTTTTTTTCTTAAATGATATCGTTTTAAATGATAATTCTACCTGGTGAAATGCATACCTGTTGGCTTGATCAGAAAAATGCCCTCTTAGTAAATTGTTCTAAGCAGCTTGTTGTTAAGTGCCATCAAGTCAGTTCCAACTCATAGGTGACCCTGTAGAGGATTTCCAAGGAATGGCTCATGGACTTGAGCTTTGACCTTGCTGGTAGCAGTCCAGTAATTACTCTGCAGTGACACACCAGAACCCCTCTAAGTAGCTAGGAAAGTTAAAAATAGGATATGGGGCCTACAAATTTCTCTGGTACATTTACATTTCCCCTTTATTTTTTTTTTTTTTACTGATCCTATCAATATAAGTCAAAATCTTTTGCAACAAATATCAAATTTGTGTATATTAAACAAGATTTTGAAGCTAAGCTACAGACTTCTTTATTTCAAGTTATGAATATCAAGAAGATTCTTATAATCAAATATTTTGGATAGTCTTGGAGATCACAGGAAAATAATTTAACTTATATAGGCATACATGATTATGGTGTTTATATATTAAGACAGGGAGAGAATTAATATTTATTATGACTTAACTATAACCCAGAGTTGCTCTATTATTTAGCAAGAAGATTGCATACATGCTAATATTTCTTTTGGTTTAAATTGGATTACAGTGTACTCTCTAAGATTATTGTAAATATAGTGGATTCTTGGAAATCAAAGATGACAGATGCCAAAACAAAGGACAAGTGATAAACAAGTGTAGTTATTGAAATCAGACAATTAAGCTCTGTGATATTATGTTTTTAGATAAGTGTTTTGTGATGTCCTTAACCATACTATTTACCATTATATAACTCCTTTCCCACTGAATCTTTTTTGAGATTTAAGAAGACATTGACTTTTTCCCTGTTATCCAAGTGATAGATTGTTTAGAACCACTTGACCTGGATCCATAAATTAGGCATGAATCCACTTCTTGCTGGCTTCCAGAGTCACATGATGAAAACAATAACAACAACTGTTCAAGTTGATTTATTCCAAATACTACATAATTCAAAGTCCCTATTTTCCCTTCAATGATCCAGCTGGTAGAGTGAAGGACTGTAGACAGACAGCATATGTGTGAATATTCTTAGGTCACTGATTTGATTCCGGCTCAAAGAAAGTTCATGACATTTGGAGTCCTAGTGTAATGCTGTAGTATAAGCACTGGACTGCTAATCACAAGGCCGGTGGTTCAAACCCATCAAGTGCTCCTCAGAAACCCTATATAAGATCGCTCTGAATCAAAACGAACTAGATGGCACTTAGCAATAACATTTCCCACCAGTGTACTTGGCACCTTAAATAAATTTACAGATAATCTGAATTCTGTTAAACTGTCAACTTTTTAAAAAATATAATTCTAATTGATTGACATGCTATCATTTAAAGTGCTGTAGAAAGAATTGTCGTGTTTTTTTTGTTGTTGTTTTCTGTACTCATTAACATGTTTGCTTTTCCTTTTTAATATAGATGCATTCAACATTCCAAGTCTCGAGAGTGTTGAGAATTATTACAGGTAATACAATAGACAACACCAGCAACTATGAGTAGGGTTTGTGCTTCAAGGAAGGTGCAGTCAATTCATTGAATGAATGAAAACATTCTTTAACAGATAAAATTTCAACAAATTGCCTGTGGTAATTTAGAAAAGGAAACTTCCATTTTTTAGTGATAGATTCAGCTCTTGTTTATTTGGACTTTTTCTTTCCTTTATTTCTTTTTATTTTATATAGGTGAAGATTTTTTGTTGACAAATGGTACTTTTAATGTATCATCCAGACCTTTTTTTCTCTTACATCAGAGCTTATCAGTGTTCTAAAGTTAGTGGGTTTTAGGAATTTTAAGATACCGATTCCCTCAACTTTGAAGGTGGCTGAAGAGCCCAGTTGGCCACCCCTGTTTACATTATCCTTTCATTCTAGTATGCCATACAAATTTTTCTTTGTTTTCATGGATTGAAAAAGGCTGGGGAACTCTGAGTTAGAAAAGCAGTTCCCTCGTATAAATGAGTTGGGATTCTTCGTTTGGTTGTAATTTCACTTTCAGTTCTGCTTTGTTCTACACTGTCAGTTAATCAGTAGCAAGTATTTATGGAGAGCCCTTTACTAATTAGGTCATGAGTCATGGTAGTGTGGTGGGTTAAACAAAGGTCAGTGGTTCAAAGTCACCAGCCACTCTGCAGGAGAAAGATGAGGCATTCTGTTTCCATAAAGATTTATAGCCTTTAGGCTTACTAACTAAATACTGTGAAGGATAGAAGAGCTAAAAAAAAAAAACAAAAAACCATATATATATATATATATATATATGGTATCTATCTTAGTCTAGTTAAGAGACATAGAATTGTTTAGGACGCAATTAGAAAAGTAAATGAAAGAATGGCTGATGAAATGCTAGATAGTGTGGTGTATGCTGTAAATCACGCTGAGAAATCAGTAAAGGCAGAGATCAGCATGGGGTGATTTTAGGGAAGACTTTACGAAGGAGTGAAAACCACATCCAGTCATACAAGATGTGTACCATTTGGAGAAAAGATGCTGAGGAGTATCTTTTAAGCAAAAAGATCAGCCTGAAGAGTTTTAAGAGCTAGGATCAGCCATGGGGGACAGTAAGGAAAATGTGGGCACTAAGGAAAATATCACCAAAATGGAAAGTCTTGTTGAGGACTGGTAAGACATTGTATATGTTCTTTAGAGCCAGGAATAGAAGTTTAGATGTGGTGGTTTATAGTTCACAATCTAGTGCAGATTCTTAAGAAGATAAATAACAATGAAAACAGTTTTGTTTTTTTAAAGGTAATCTTAAAACAATAGAGAGAAAGAACAAACTCAAAACCCACTACCATCAAGTTGATTCTGACTCATAGCAACCCTGAAAAGAGAAAAAAATAGGGGTAAAAGGGCAAAAAAGGGGTGGTGGTGGTGATGGGATGGGGTAGATGGGAGTTACGGAGACCTAACTGAAGAGTTCTGCAATAATATTCCAGTCATGATATGGGAAGGGCCTGAAATGAATAAAAGACACACTCATTTGTACAGAATTCTTGTATAGTAGTGATACCAATTTGAGGATGATAGGTCAAATGTTGTTGTTAGATGCCATCAAGTCAGTACCAACTCATAGTGTATGCACAGCAGAACGAAACACTGCCTGATCCTGGGCCAACCTCACTACTGTTGCCACGCTTGAGTCCATCAATGCTGCCACTTGGCCAATCCATCTTGCTGGGGGTCTTCCTCTTTTTCTCTGACTCTCCACCTTACCTAAGGCAAATAGTATTGATTAACTAACTGAATTTATGCAATTAGAACTGATGTAACTTGAAGGAGGAGCTTGCTCTTTTTCATTAATATGAAAAAGGTAAAGCACAGAAAGAAAATCTCCTTTTACTACCTTGTTATTTAGCTATGAACAATTTGTATCTTAGATGGTGAAGTGGGACTAGAGTTAAAGACATTTTCAAAGGAGAATTAATAGGACTTTGACTTTGACTGGTTATTGCAAAAGTAAAATGATTAACCATTTTAAAGTTTGTTACCATTATAGTTTGCTTGGTGGTGGTTAAGTGCTGTGGAGTTGGTTCCAATGCATAGTGACCTTAAATAGGGTTTCTGAGGCTGTAAATCTTTGTTGTTGTTAGGTGCCATTGAGTCAGTACCGACCCATAGCGACCGTATGCACAACAGAACAAAACACTGCCCGATCCTGATCTGACCTCACTACTGTTGCCACGCCTGAGTCCATCGATGTTGCCACTTGGCCAATCCATCTTGTTAGGGGTCTTCCTCTTTGTCTCTGACCCTCTACCTTACCAAACACGATATCCTTCTCCAGTGACTGGTCCCTCCTGACAATATGTCCAAAGTATGAGAGATGAAGTTTGGCCATCCTGGCCTCCAAGGAGCACTCTGGCTGTACTTCTTCCAAAACGGATCTATTGGTTCTTTTGGTAGCCCATGGCACTTGCAATATTCTCCTCCAACACCATAACTCAAAAGCATCAATGCTTCTACGTTCTTCCTTATTCACTGTCCAGTTTTCACATGCATATGAAGTTACTGAAAATACCATGGCTTGGGTCAGGCACACCTTAGTCCTCAAGCTGACATCTCTGCTCTTCAACACTTTAAAAAGGCCTTGTGCAGCAGATTTGCCTAATGCAATACATTGTTTGATTTCTTAACTGCTGCTTCCATGAATGTTGATAGTTGATCCAAGAAAAATGAAGTCCTTGACTACTTCAGTTTTTTCTCCATTGATAAGAATGTTGTTGATTGGTCCAGTGGTGAGGATTTTTGTTTTCTTTACATTGAGATGTAATCCATACCAAAGGCCGTGCTCTTATCTTCATCAGTAAATGTTTTAAGTCCTCTTCACTTTCAGCAAGCAAGGTTGTATCATCTGCATATCGCAGGTTGTTAATGAGTCTTCCTCCAATCCTGATGCCATGTTTTTCTTCATAGAACCCAGCTTCTTGGATTATTTGCTTAGCATACAGGTTGAGTAGGTATGGTGAAAAATTACAGCCTTGTTACACACCTTTCTTAATTTTAAACCATTCAGTGTTCCCATGTTCTGTTCAAACAACTGCTTCTTGGTCCAGGTACAGATTCCTCATGAGCACAATTAATTGTTCCGGAATACTCATACTTTGCAATGTTGTTCATAGCTTGTCATGACCCACACAATGGAAAGTCTTTGCGTAGTCAATAAAGCACAAGTAAACATCTTTCTGGTATTCTCTGTTTTCAGCTAAGATCCATCGGACATCAACAATGATATCCTTCATTCCACAGCCTCTTCTGAATCCGGCTTGAACCACTGGAAGTTCTCTGTCAATGTATGCTTGCAGTCGTTTCTGTATTACCTTTAGCAAAACTTCACTCACATGGGATATCAAAGAGATTGATGATTTCTGCATTCCATTGGGTAACCTCTCTTTGGAATGGGCACAAATAAGGATCTCTTCCAATCAGTTGGCCAGATAGTTGTCTTCCACATTTCTTGGCATAGATGAGTGTGTGCCTCCTGTGCCGACTCACTTTCTTGAAAGATTTCCATTTTTATTCCATCGATTCCTGGTGCCTTGTTCTTTGCCAATTCCTTCAGTGCACGTTGGACTTCCTCCTTGAGTATCATTGGCTCTTGATCATATGCTACCTCTTGAAATGGCTGAACATTAACCATTTCCTTTTGGTATGGTGACTTACGGGAACAGAAACCTCATCTTTCTCCCACAGAACAGCTGGCAGTTTTGAACTGCTGACCTTGCGGTTCACAGCCCGATTCATAACCAGTACGCTCCCAGAGCTCCTTATGTTTTACATCTAAACACTTAAATTTTGTCTGATTTAACAAATGGTATTTTGTTATTACAGAAATGTTAACCTAAAGGGGGAAAAAAATTTCCAACAAATCTAGAAGGTAAATCTTTATTTTAAGAATACCTCATTAGAAGGTCAAAATTCAGTATTCAAACCATGCTAAAATCAACTATTGTATATTTTAGCATTTGGTTTTAAAGAATCCTATCTTTTTAAGATGGTTAAATTTTAATGTGTCAAAACATGTATGAAAGGAAAAAAAAAAAAAAAGACAAAACAACATATGTGAAGTTATAAATTTCCAAAGAATAACTCTGAGGGTAAAATACACAAGAAAAAGTATAAATAATAAAACATCAATGAAGGTAAAAATATCTGGAATAGAAATTTAAAAAATACTAAGAAGAGGCAATAAAACTAATTGACGTTGACTACTTTTTGAAAGTTAATTTTAATGTCTATGAAGATATATTTACATATATATTTGATTTTGGTATATTTGATGGCTATTGTGACTTAAAGATGAGGCTTTCTGCTCCCATAAAGATTTAAGATTTACAGCCTTGGAAACCCTGTACAGGGCCGCTATGAGTCAGAACCGACTCCATGGCACATAACAACAACTACAACAAATTGTGACTTAAATAAAGGAGCCCTGGTGGTGCAATGGTTAAGTGATATCTGCTAACCAAAAGGTCAGCATTTGGAGTCCACCAGCTATTCCACCAGAGAAAAACCTGCTGTCTGCTTCCATAAAGATTATAGCCTTGGACACCCATGGGGCAGCTTCACTCCGCCCTACAGGATCTCTATGAGCACATGTAAATTATAGCACCTTAATTATATATTACTTTTTTTGCATATTAAGTTTTAGAAGTTTATTTTTATATGTGCTCTTAGGTAAAATATCATTTAACACACTTATATAAGATACCAATTTTCCTTATAATATTCGGACATTTGAATATTATAGATATGCCCCCAATATGATCTATTTTTTCCTTCTCATTTATACAATGAATACTTGAGTACCTACTCTGTGTACTGTGTTACCCTGTCCTGTCTCCCTGTTTTATTTCTCCTTTTTTAATACCTTTTTAACACTTAAGGTAATGAGGACTTTTGTGACTGATACAGACTCTATGTATGCTATCATCATATTTTTATTTTATTAATTTTAGTAATGGAAAAAGATATACTGACCAGACCCAAACCTAAGATTTTTCTCCTGGCCATCTTGATGACTTCCTCTTTGTAAGACTTTATTGAGAAGTAAGCCTATGCTCCTTGGAAACCCTATACAGGGTCGCAATGGGTTGGATTCAACTCGATGGCACTTAACAACAACAACAATCTGTACATGGACCAAGAGGCAGTTGTTCGAACAGAACATGGGAACACTGAATGTTTTAAAATTAAGAAAGGTGTGCAACAAGGTTATATTCTTTCACCATACTTATTCAACCTGTATGCTGAGCAAATAATCCTAGAAGCTGGGTTATATGAAAAAAATGCAGCATCAGGATTAGAGGAGGACTCATTAACAACCTATGATATATGCAGATGATACAACCTTGCTTGCTGAAAGTGAAGAAGACTTAAAATATTTACTGATGAAGATCAAAGAGCACAGCCTTTGGTATGGATTACATCTCAATGTAAAGAAAACAAAAATCCTCACCACTGGACCAATCAACAACATTCTTATCAATGGAGAAAAAATTGAAGTTGTCAAGGACTTCATTCTTCTTGGATCAACTATCAACACTTATGGAAGCAGCAGTCAGGAAATCAAACGGCATATTATAGCAGTAGGCAAATCTGCTGCACAAGACCTTTTTAAAGTGTTGAAGAGCAAGGATGTCAGCTTGAAGACTAAGGTGTGCCTGACCCAAACCATGGTATTTTCAATAACCTCATATGCATGTGAAAGCTGGACAGTGAATAAGGAAGAGCATAGAAGAATTGATGCTTTTGAGTTATGGTGTTGGAGGAGAATATTGAAAGTATCATAGGATGCCAAAAGAACCAACAGATCTGTGTTGGAAGAAGTGCAGTCAGAGTGCTCCTTGGAGGCCAGAATGGCCAAACTTTGTCTCTGATACTTTGGACATATTGTCAGGAGGGACCAGTCACTGGAGAAGGATATCATGTTTGGTAAGGTAGAGGGTCAGAGAAAAAGAGGAACACCCCCAGCGAGATGTATTGGCCAAGTGGCAGCATCAATGGACTCAAGAGTGGCCACAATAGTGAGGTTGGCCCAGGATCAGGGCCGAGTTTCATTTTGCTGTGCATAAGGTTGGTACTGACTCAATGGCATGTAACAACAAACCACAAGTCCTGTTTCACCCTAGATGGTGCAAATATTAACACACTAGACTACTAACCAGAAGGTTGGAGGTTTCAGTCTTCCTAGAGGTGCCTTGGAAGAAAGACCTTGCAATTTACTTCCCAAAACTCAGCCATTGAAAACCCTGTGGAGCACAGTTCTCATCTGACGCACACGGGGTCACCTGAGTCAAAACTGACTCCTTCGCAACTGGTACTGGTAGTCCTTTTCCGAGAATAAAGACATATTGTATCTTACTATACCAAGGACTCTGCTAGACTCTGTGCCCATAATAAGTACCATTTCACTGAATTCTTACTCATTCCTTTTGGAATGGTTAGTAGATTGCCTAGAATAGTTTTCCTACTTCTCTTGTATTTAAAATGACATTTTCAAAGAAGAGAAAATTGTCGACACTCCTCATAGTCAGTCTGTGCTTCTAATTAGTACCTAACTGTTTGCATTATCTAGGATCTCCTGTAGATCAGAAAATTTTCTTTTCAGAGGTAGGCTAAACCTAATGTGATATTCAGGAAAGAACCAGAATTCGTTCTGTCTTTAAAAGAAAAAAATTGTGTTTAATGTGAAAGTTTACACAGCAAATTAGATTCCTATTTACCAATTTCTACACAAATTATTCAGTGATAATAGCTTACATTTTCCACAATATATCATCATTCTCATTCATTTTATCTTGGTTATACATTTCCAGTTCTCTCATTTCCCTGCGCCCTTTCTTTCTTGATTTTTCTTTAGAGTATTTTTGACCATTTGATATCCTATAGGTGACTTTTTCAAGGAGCACTTAACTCTTTAATTTATGGGCTAATCTGTTTTTTTAACTAAAAGGTGACCTCACAGGATAATTTTGGTTTATGGTTTAAAGAGTATCTCAAGATTTGATAGTCCCGGGGAGTCCTCTAGTCTCAGCCAGTCCTGTAAATTTGGGCTATTTAAGAGTTTTGGTTCTGTACATTTCCCCCCCTATTCATTCTGGTTTTTTTGTGATTTTACTGACACTTTGCTGCCTTTTTTTTTTTTTTTTAGGAAATACTCTGCTGTACGCAGGGATGGCTCTTTCCATTACGTCCACAGTACTCCTTTTGGCAACTATTCTTTCATCTGTATGGATGCCACCCTCAATCCAGGGCCCAAGAGACCCTATAATTTCTTTGGAATTTTAAATGAGGTACAGTAAAAATGTCACTTCCCTCTATAGCTTGCCTATTAATTTTTTTCTCCAACACATGTAGTTCATATAAAGTTATCCTAAGTTAATAAATTATATACAAATGCTTGAGAAAAATTATGTTATGGTACAGGTATGGTTAAAGGCAGCTACTGCTACTTCAGCACTGTTATGACTATCCCTGGTCTTGCCTCAAAATCTGGAAAATAGTATGTTTTATTTATTTAGTAAAACTGTATTAAATATGTACTAAGGAGTCCTGGTGTGGCACTGTAGGATAAGCACTGGACTACTAACTGAAAAGTTGGTGGTTCAAACCGACCAGCTCCTCCTTGGAAATGCTATACAGGATCTCTATGAGTAGGAACCAACTCCATGATGCTTAACAACAACAACTAGGTCAGGATACACTTTGCAAGATGCAGGGTGTAAAGTTTTATGTTCTGTATTATATATTCCTAAATCGCCATAACTGCCACTGCTAACTAATAATACAATTTATTATAAGAAAAGGACAACCTTTCCCCTCTCTCTTCTGCGCTGCCTATGGAGGAGGCGGCCATCTTGATCGGCATCATGGCTGCCCTCAGACCCCTGGTGAAGCCCAAGATTGTCAAAAAGAGGACCAAGAAGTTCATCCGGCACCAATCAGATTGTTATGTCAAAATTAAGCGTAATTGGCGCAAGCCCAGAGGCATTGACAGTAGAGTGCGGAGAAGATTTAAGGGCCAGATCTTAATGCCCAACATTGGTTATGGGAGCAACAAGAAGACAAAACACATGCTGCCCAGTGGCTTCCGCAAGTCCTGGTCCACAGCGTTGAAGAGCTGGAGGTGCTGCTGATGTGCAACAAATCTTACTGTGCAGAGATTGCTCACAACGTCTCCTCCAAGAAACGTAAAGCTATCGTGGAAAGAGCAGCCCAGCTGGCCATCAGAGTCACCAATCCCAACACCAGGCTGCACAGTGAAGAAAATGAATAGACAGCCTGTTTTTGAGTTTTATTTGTGCTAAATAAAAGCATAAAAGCGCTGCCAAAGAAAGAAAGAAAGAAAGAAAGAAAAGGACAACCAATGAAGTAGGATAAGTTTCCTTTATAGTAGATTTGGCAAGGATAAATGAAAATTGTTGGGGAATTAAAACAGGAAAGTCACATCTGAGAACTTTCATTATATCTTGATATAACAAATGCCCAGTTGTTAAATAGTTAATGAGCAGGTACCCATATATAGGACATACAGAAGGGCTTCAAAAAGATCCTGGAAAAGTGGAATAAAAAAGTAATGGAGGTAACCATCATCCATCCAGTAGTGCTGGAGTGGCAGCGGCAGTGGCAGTGGCAGCTGGGGATGGCGTGAGGTAATGTTACAGGGCAGTGGTGGCCACAGTAACAACAAGATGATTTGTGGATACCCGCTGTTGCTGCCACTGCTGGGCTGGGTGTTTTGTTTGCAGAGTTTTTACAAATATAGACATTGGTATAACCACTACCACATTCAAGACATAGAGCATTTCCATCACTTCACAAAAATTCCTTTATGCCACTTTATAGTCTTTACCTCCAGTCCCAGGGAACCATTAGTTTCTGTCATTTGTAGGTTAGTGTTGCTTGTTTGAGAGTTTTATTTAAATGAAATCATTCAGTATGTACTCTTATGTCTAGCTTCTTTTATTCCTTTGTGCAATATAATAATATTTCTGAGACTGTAATATGGTGGCATTGGACCTTGCCTAAATTCAGGAGAAGATCACCATAAGCCCAAAGCTGATCTCTGTGAGGTGGAAGTCAGACATACCTCCACTCTCCAACCTTATTACCAATTCAGACACCAGCCATCCTCCCCATGGCACTCTTTATTTCTCGACTGGGTTCAACAATTCTTTACAATGGCCACACAAAATTTATAGACCATACTCACAATTGTGAGTTTATTAGGAAAGTAACAGGAGTCTTGGTGTGGCACTGTGGGTTAATATGCTGGACTGCGAGGTCCATTTGAACTGCAAGTTAGGCAGGTCTAGCTGCTCCTTGGAAACCCTAAACAGAGTTGCTATATTAGTCGGAATTGTACTAAGAACAACAACAGGTTATAGCTAGGGATCAGGATCAACTTAGAAGTAACAGAACAACTCTAAAGACAGGATATAATTTGTCATTTAGGATAGCTTCTGACCTTTCAGTTGCTTCTTCACCATCCTCACTCTCAGTCTCTGGCCTGCTTGGGCAAGTGTTACAGCTCTTTAGCAGTTCTGAGAAGTGCCCAGAGTACTCCACTCCTCTAGGAAACTGCTGAGCTCTTTTGCTCTGTGGGTTAGTGAGCACACTGCAGCTGTCTGCAGGTTCTGTGTCACTGCCATCTCAGGCTGCTTCCAGTAGTACAGCTTTCTCAGCCTCCTGGATTTAGGAGGTTCTCAGCTCAGGGATCTTGGGTTCAAAGAACGTGCTCTGCTTTCAGCTCTTCTTGATGGTAGTGCAGTTGTCTTCAGTTTCTATAGGATTGACTCATTTAAGCCTGGTGTAATGGCAAAACTGAGCAATCACTTTTGCCGATAACAAGCACCTCATTTGCATATTAGCTGTCCAATCCCTGCAAGAGTTTTATACATGTTATTTGCATAGTACTACAGGGTCGCTGTGAGTAGGAACCGACTCCATGGCACATAACAACAACAACAAGCCAATCATTTACACTACTAATCTGTCAGTTTGTCATACTGTGGTAGCTTGTGTATTGCTGTAATGCTGGAAGCTATGCCACTGACATTTTAAATACCAGCAGGGTCACCCATGGTGGACAGGTTTCAGCAGAGCTTCCAGACTAAAACAGACTAAGATGAAGGAGTAGCTACTGAAAATCTTAGGAATAGAAGTGGAATACTGTCAGATATAGTGTTTGCTGGAAGATGAGTCCCTCAGCTTGGAAAGCACTCAAAATATGTCTGAGGAAGAGCTGCCTCCTCAAATTAGAGTTGACCTTAATGACATGTAAGAAATGTTGAAAGAAGATGGAAGGAATACACAGTAATCATACTAAAAAAATTGGTTGATGCTCAATCAGTCACGGAGGCAGCATATGATCAAGCTACACTGAAGGCACTGGTGAAAAACAAGGCTGCTAGAATGATGGAATACAAATAGAAATCTTTCAACCAAGTGATGTAGCACTAGAGCCACTCACTTGTCTATGCCAAGAAATTTGGAAAACAGGTACCTGGAAGAGATCCATATTTGTGCCCATTCCAAAGAAAGGTGGCTCAACAGAATGTGGAAACCATCAAATAATATCAAATAGTATCATATGCAAGTAAAAATTTTGCTCAAGATAATTTAAAAATGGTTGTAGCAGTACATTGACATGTTGCTGCCAGAAATTCAAGCTGGATTCAGAAGAGGATGTGTACAAAGGGATATCATTGCTGATGTCTGATGGATATTGGCTAAAAGTAGAGAAAACCAGTTTACTTGTGCTTTATTGATTATGCAAAGGCATTTAACTGTGTGGATCATAACAAACTATGGATAACATTGTGAAGAATGGGCATTCCAGATCATTTCATAGTGTTCATGAGGAATCTGTATGTAGTTCAGGAGACAGTCATTCAAACAGAGCACGGGAATATTGAATGGCTTAACATCAGAAAAGGTGTGCACTAGGCTTGTATCCTTTCACTATTCTTATTCAATTGTGTACTGACCAAATAATCTGAGAAGAATGTGGTGGAAGAAGAAGGATTGGAGGAAGACTGTTAACCACAGATGACATAATCTTGTTTACTGGAAGTGAAGAAGCTTTAAAATACTAACTGAGATAAAAGAATACAGCCTTCAGTATGGATTGCACCTGAATGTAAAGAAAGCAAAAATCCTATAAATAACATCATGATAATTGGAATAAAGATTGAAGTTGTCAAAGACTTCATTTTGCTTAGATCCACAATTAACTCTCATGGAAGCAACAGTCAACTAAGCAAAAGGACATAGTTCATTAGGCAAATCTGCTGCAAAAGACCTTTTAAAGTGTTAAAAAAAACAAAAAACAAAGCTGTCAGTTTGAGGTCTAAGGTGTGCCTGACCCAAACCATGGTATTTTTAGTTGCCTCATTTGCATGTGAAAGTTGGACAATAAGAAAGACTGGAGAAGAATTGTGCATTAGAATTATGGTGTTGGTGAAGAATATTGAAGGTAACGGGGACTGCCAGAAGAAGGAACAAATCTGTCTTGGAAGTGCAGCCAGAATGCTCCTTAGGATGGTGAGACTTTGTCTCTCAGTCTTTGGACATGTTATAAGGAGGGATCAATCCCTGGTAAAGGACATAATCTATGGTAAAGTAGAGCATCAGAGAAAAAGAGGAAGTACCCCAAGAGATGGATTGATATGGTGGCAGCATCCTCATTATTAACTGTAATGTATTCATGGCTGAAAAAATTAATAGTGACTTCTTTATTTATCAGTTTTCTTCTCTATCAAATGGAAATAGTACCTGACTTGCTTTTTGAAGAGAGCTATTATTAGGATTGAAAAAATTCTTCTGTATGGAAAGAGTTTGAAACGTATAGAGGTCCATGCCAGTCATTAGTTATTAGACCCAATATAATGATTGTAAAATTTCAGGGAAATTGTTTAATATGTTGACCCCTCTGAAGAACAGATTTCAGCCTGAGTCCTAGTTAAAGACCCTCCTATTTTTCTCCCACTTCAGAAACAAATGGAAGAGCTTTTCTTATTGGCCAAGGAAAGTAGTCGGAGCAACCATACTATTTGGTTTGGACATTTTACAACATCTACTATCCTTTCTTCTTCACCAGGAATCCGGTCACTGATGAAGTAAGACAGGTTTTTAAAATTAAAATCAATTGTTTTTAATTCATTGATGTTGCTCTACATACCTTGCTTTCCTGAAAAGGCATTTTTATTAGGTTGACATCACAAGTTCTCTTTTATCATTTATTCAATTTATTTTTATTGGTTAGTTCAGCTACAGCTTATTTCTGTGGACACCTACATACACTTGGTGGACTGATGCCTGTTTTACACACCCGACACTCCCAAGGTACTTTGGAACTTGAGATAGGAGACTGGAAAGATAACAGAAGGTAAGGAAACTACCTCATAAAGTAGAACTTGCACATGTAGGTTTTGCTAAAGCAATGATAGAGTCTTCTTACTGATATCACAGTTTCAGTTAAGGAAAAACTTGTGGATTTTTGTTGGGTTTTATTTATTTATTTATTTTGCTTGCTTGTTTTGTAATACATGTATCTAGCAGTTTTTGTTTTATGGTAAATTTTGCTGCAGCAATGATGTTTGCCATATGTTGCATCAAGTAGGAAATAATTCTCAAACTCTAGTGTATACATAAATTATGAGGAGCTCTTTAAAAATGAAAATTTCTAGGCCTTACCTCTAGTGATTTCAATTTTGTTAGTCTGGGTGGGCTAGGGTCCAACCAACTACATTTTCAAAGCCCTTCAGGTGGTCTATGGACCACACTTTGAAAAACATTAAAATCAAATTTGTCATTGCTTCCATGATTTTATACCTACCATTCTAGTTATTGTGATGTCAGTGATACAAGTTCTTTAGATAGTTGATGGTGGTGGTGGTGATGTGCCGTGGAGTCGGTTCCAACTCATAGCGATCCTGTACAGGGTTTCTGAGGCTGTAAATCTTTACGGGAGCATAAAGCCTCATCTTTCTCCCATGAAACAGCTGGTAGTTTCGAACTGCTGACCTTGCAGTTCGCAGCCCAATTCATAACCACTACACTACCAGACCTCCTGATAGTTGATAGTTGACATTATTAAGGATAAAGCCCTTTCAATAGAGAACATAACATTTATTAAAGTCACATTATTAAGTGCTGTGGAGTTGGGTTTGACTCATAGTGACCATGTATAGGAATTCCAAAGCTTTAAATCTTCGAGGAAGCAGAAAGCCTTATCTTTCTCCTATAGGGTGGCTGGTGGACTCAAACTACTGACCTTGTGGTTCATAATCCAGTGCCTATCCTATAGAGCCACCTTGCCTACATTAAAGTTACATAGTATAGTTATATATTTTAGCTATGTATATTTTTAAAAGCTAGCATTTTATCTGAAGTTTTACTGAAAATACCTAACCTTTTCTTGCCTTTGTAAACATTCAAATTATATTAGTTAAAATAAGACAAAATATATTTTTGCTTTTTATTGTGGTAAAAAGGTAACAAAAGAGTTGCCATCTCTAGTCTTCACATGTCTAGTTCAGTGACATTATGTTCATCATGTTGTTCAACCATCACTATTAACCATTTCCAAATTCTTCCATCACCCTTAACAGAATTTCAGTGACTTGTAAGCACTGAAAATAAGGGCAGTTTAAAGAACGATAGTAAAAAACCCCAAAAACCCTGTTAGTAGATTTATAATATTAGGGTAGGCATTATTGTGGATGCAAATAAATCCGAAAGTCTCAATGGTATAACACAGCAAAAGTTTATTTTTTTTTATTCATGTAAAATTCAATGTGAGTCAGGGCAACTCTCTTCCATGGGTGGCTCAGGGATTCTGGCTTTTTCTGTCTTCTAATGGTACTAGCTGAACACTTTGATTCCAGAGCAGGGAAGAGATCATAGAGAAGACATAGCTACTGTTTAGGCCACTCTTTAGTGTGATACATACATGTCACTTCTGTTCACAGCCCATTGACCAAAAGTAGTTACATGATCCCAGCCTAATACCAGGGAGACTAGGAAATGCAGGAGAGTGTGTGGACTATTTGGTGAGCACTATTGTTTCTGCCACAATTAATCACTGTTTCCCTCCATTCTAAAAATCAGAAAATATAAAACTTTGTTTAACCACTTATGAATATTTTAAACCTTTCATCATACATTTGGAAAATCAAAACAACATTAATTTCTGTGAAATTATAGAAATAAAGGTTTAAAGGACATATGAAAGAGATCTTATGTGTTCATATCAATAATTTTAGTATTTTCTATATCACTGTTGATGGGAGGAAGAATGTCAGGCGTTAGGATTTGATGACTGTCTTAGATTCCAAATAATCTTAAGGTATTGAAATAAACTAATTCAACAAGCATTTTTTTAAAATAGTGTGCTCTATGTACCAGGCGTTCATATTGCCTCAATCAGATACCAGTAAGATGTGTCAAGCATAAAATGATTGCAATAAGAGAAATGATATCACTTGTTCTGCATTCAAATTCATGATGTAAAAAAGCACTACTTTTGTATTTTTACATGTTTCATATATTATTCCATGCCCTCTTATAATATGAAGTTACTAAATTATCTAACTATGTTTTGTTTTCTAGGTACCGGATCTTTGCTTTTGATCATGACCTTTTTAGCTTTGCAGATTTGACCTTTGGCAAGTGGCCTGTGGTTCTCATCACCAACCCTAAATCACTCCTCTATAGTTATGCCAAAAATGAACCACTAGAAAGACTTCTTCACTCAACACACATCAGGTATGTAGTAGCTTTTCAGAATTTATTCTCAGTTTGATATTGATAGAGAATACTGTGTCTACATTTCCATGTGAAAGCTCCACTAAAGTTTTGCTAAACAACTTCAACATTATATAAACCATTGTTTTGTGAATGCTAAAATATATTTATATTTTCAAACTGATGACATTGAAAAAAAATCATGCAGAAGCCCTACTATTATTATTTTGGTGTATTTTTTTCTAGCATTTTATATGCATGTTGTACAATGTTGTAATCATAATACACATATTCCTTTATATTCTACTTTCAAAAATTCACATGATATATTGAAATTTTTTTCATCCTTCTACATACTCTTCCAATAAAAAGCTGTATAAATCTTGTGCAAATGAAAATTCAGTTGGCACATGAGTATGATGATATAAATAGAGTCTTACGAGGAATAACAGCCTGCAAGTGTAATGGTACTCTTTTTAAAATATTCTTTTATTTTGAAAAGTTATACAAAATATAAGTTATTGGAAAATCAAGTGATAAGATTATAAAGTATGTAGGATTGTATTTCCTCCTTCTCATAGAACCATGGAGTCCTGTAGAATAAGCACTGGGCTGCTAACCACAAGATCGGCAGTTCAAACCCACCAGCCAGTCCTCTGAAACCTTGTTCAATGTTGCTATGAATTAGAACTGACTCAATGGACATAACAACAATAGAACTACTAACATTTTTGAATTTTCCTTCTCGGGCCTTCTCTTTTAGGAATGTTTTTATATAGTTGTAGTCATAGGGCACAGTCTACTCTACTGCTTTTTTCCCCCTCAACATTGTATTGTTGCTAGATTCACTTTATAATGATTATTTTAGTAACTGCCTAACATTCCACTGAGAGATTATATCATTAGCCATTTTCCTTATTGGTAAGCCTTAAAATTGTTTTTTGGGAATGATCACTGCTACATATAGATGTATTCTTTCATTTGAATAATTTCTTTAAAATAGAGTTCTACATGTAGAAATCTAAGTAAAAGTGTTTAAATTCCTTTATGACTATTGGTAAAGATTGCCCAGTTACTTTTAAAACAGAGCCACTAATTTATCTTACTAAGCAATATGAGGGCCAATTTCACAGCACTCCTATTATTGGATATTATACTTTTAGAAAGGGTTTTAAAAGTTTATTTTTTACTAATAGAAGTTTTCACTAAAGTAAAAAAAAAGATACCATGTTCTTAAATTTATATAATTTTGGTTATTAGTGAAGTGGGACATACGTCTTAGGCTTCTAATGGGAGTTTGATATCAGATTTATTATATGACATATCCAGGCAGTTATGTTGGAAACCAAGTGAGCAGATGGTAGGCTTAATTAACAGGAGTAAACCAGGACTTTAGGAATTTTTTCATAATGAACTTTAGATCTACACCATTTGGATTTGTCAAAAGAAAATAGATTTTTCTTTCTAAAAAGTATAAGAATAGTTCCTAATTTCTCAGTAATTCAAGTCTGCTGAATTGTACAACCCCAAAAATCACCATTCAGATAGAAACCAGAATCATGTGAGTAGTGGTCCCTACAATTTTACATTGTGATATTGTTGTTGTTGTTAAGTTCCGTCAAGTCAGTTCTGACCCATGGCGACCTGTATAGGATTTCCGAAAAGCAGCTGGTGAGCTTGAGCCACTAACCTTGCCGTTTAAGCCAACTTTGCAGTCCAGTGCATTAACCCACAGCGTCACACCAGGGCTCCTAGTTCTGTTTATATCTTTTCCAGATTTAATAGAGCTATTCTGCCTTATAAAAACTATCACCTAAAACCCTGCATTTTTTGTGTTTCCATTTTAGAGTCTTGACCTTTTCCTCATCCGCCATTATTTCTGTCACAGTTAAGATTGATGGAGTTCACTTAGGACAGGCTCTTCATTTGTCAGGTCCTATTTTCATATTAAAGTGGAATCCCAGAAACTACAGTAATGGAACACACAGCATAGAAGTAACTGTCCAGGTAAGCTAGTAATTTTCAATATGCTATATAAACAAGCAGGCTATATTCACATTGAACTCTGATTAAATCTATGGCCATATCACCTGAACACTCCTGGTCCCAACTAAACTCTGTTTAGGGCTTTACAGTCAACTGATAAAGATGAAACTAAGTTTAGATAATTTCTTTTAAAATTCAACACATTATATCTAGTGTATTATAAAGGTGGACATTATCTAGGTAAATATGTAGAGACAGAAAGTAGAATAAGGTTACCAGGAGCTGGGGAAGCCTGGACTAGGGAGTTGCTGTTTAAAAGGGAATTGATTTCCTGTTTGAGGTGATGAAAAAGTGTGATGGTTACACAGCAGTTTGAATGTATTTATACCACTGAATTGTACACTTAGAAATTGTTAAAAAGGTAAGTTTTATGTTATGTATTTTTTACCACAATAAAAAAACTAATGAAAAATGTAGTTATTCAGATATAACAGAAAAGTTATTGACAACACTCGGAGCATTATAAATATTTGAATGGAACTATCATAGAGAGAAAGATCAGGCTTTCTACTCCCGTAAAGATTTACACCCTCGGAAACCCTGTACAGGGTCGCTATGGGTCGAAACCGACTCGACGGCACTTAACAACAACAACAACAACAATCATAGAGAGTTTCTTCTCTGTTGTGTTTACAACTAGGATTCTGCTGGAAGAAGAAAGACTGTTAGTCATGTATTTTCTGTTGAGGAGAATCTTCATCTCACTTTTGATCCACTGGCATCATTTATTCTCCTGACTGACCACTATATTGTGGTAAGTGAATCCCACCAAATGTTACATGGGTTTTTACTGGTTTTGGTAAATCCAAAGTTCTAACTAGTATGGCCATGTACAGAGAAAGCTGAACCTTATAAATAAAATTAGATTTTTGTTACAAAGAGGCTTCAAAAATTTGTGCCATGAGATCAGCAGAACTAGATGATCTCTGGCTACCGTCACCAACTGCTCTGAAAGGGATCACATTAGAATGTCCTGGATAGAGTGGGAGAAAATGTGAAACAAAACTCAAAATCATAAACTGGACCAGGCTTACTGATTTGATAGAGACTATGGCTCTTAGTCACCCTTCAGGTCTGGATCTGAACTCACCCTTGTGACTTAACTTCCAGCTAAGCAATAGATAAGTATGTAGGGCGACAGCAACACTAGTGAGGTGTGCACACCATAGAATGGTCAACCATTCAAGATAAAAAAGGAAGCATTTACCCAAGGACAACATTCAGAAGGGTTGGGAAAGAAGGAGGAATGAAAATAACAAATACAGGAAGGAATTGGGAAAAGTGATGTTATACTGAAGGGATTGAAATCACTGAGATAAAATAAAGTGAATTATTTATTGAATGTGAAACTGATGATCTGCTCTGTAAACCTTCACTCAAGTCACAAGTTAAAAAAAAATGTGCAAAAATTCCATTATTTTTTAAAAATCTTTTATTGTGAATTATTTAATAGTTTACATGGGAGAACATTAGCTTTACATTCATCCTATTGTATATCGTTTCATTGCCATGGTTACAATCCCCTCCATGCATCATC